TCTGTCAATAATGATTTACACACTGAATCAAAACAGTAATAGATCTGATGTTGGAATTAATTACATTTCAATTTCATTTCATAGACCCGCCCTGAGTGAGCTGTCATCAGATGTAGACAAGAATGACTCCTCAGCGATCGAGGTGTTCTGTTGTTGGATGTAATAATGAACATAGCGGTCATCATTTACTCCCAACATCTGAGCCACTGAAGACGCAGTGGATTAGGTTTGTTTCTGAAGGGAATGCGCCCCTGATCTACATAAATGCGTCTATGTTCGCGCGAATCATTCGTGATCCAGTTTCACCTCCAGAAGAAGTAAGTGTAAGGTTTTTTAATGAATCTTTGCAAATCGCCTTTCCTAATAATGTGCTAGTTAGCAAGTTTCAAGATGAATGCGGCTAAAGTTTACCGTCTCTCAGAGAGCGGCTCGGAAGAGAGAGAGGGGGGGTCAGCAGAGCTCATTAACATTTAAAGCGACGTGCAATAAAACAGCTCGCTGTAGAAAGAGCTGTTTTTGACAGGGTTAAAACGGTGTTGTTTTACACTACAGTTGAGAAATTTCAACCAAACTATATTACAGACTTTTCATTAAGACCCTAAAGAATCATATGAACTTGTGGAAAATGGGCATCCCCATTGACCCCTTTAAAATGTTGACATTTGTTTGAATTGGCCTTCAGAGATTCAGATGGAAACTGTGTTGATCATGTTTCGCATGGTTTTAATTATCAACATATCCATAACAGCAAGAGTGAGAGTATATCATGAGGGGACTATGTGAATGGAAATTTGAACACAGCCCTTGGGCTCCATGGCAATGGAAGGTTCTAATTCGGGTTCCCTTTGTTGTGCATCTGGCTGAATAGAACTTAGAAATATGGTTCTGAAAAGAGCCGTGACAACAAAAGGAAATTAATTTTAATAAAGCCCAACCTCTCTTCGGAATAAGTCCATTGAGACAGACACAGCCTGACTCTCTCTCAGTGGTCTGATGTATTAATGGTGCCTAATCTTCAAAGAACGCAGCAGGTTGTTTAAGCCACATTCAAACTCCATGACGCTGGAATGAAAGGGGAACCGGTTTTCCGTGGCTTTTGTTTCTGTAATGGAGACCCACATGTGGGACACACACAGAGACATATGAACATGCGATAACAGAAAACCCTCAAAAGAAACAGAGCCACTGAACAAAGGAAGACGATTCACCACGTCGCACAATAATGAGGCTTATTGGGCTTAATATATGGTAACCTTTGTTCTGTTTTGCTCAGTGTTTTTGTCCTCGCTGTGAACCCTACATTATACGTAGCACAATGATGGTTGTGCAGATGTATGTGAGACCAGGGATAATTTAACTTTTTCGCTTTAGCAAATTTTATTTTTGTCGTTAATTCTTGAAAATTAACTTCTGTAAAGACATCTGAAACAACTTCAAGGAACAAATATAGCGGGTATTTAATACAGTAGTGGGTTATATTGATGCACTACATGGGGTAAGTTGTCACAGTGTGCAATTAAAAAGCCTGTTATAGACTCTACATCAACATGTAAACATTTACTATGATTTTTATGACAATTATGAAAGTCAAAACAAATCATTAAGCAGTAAAAAGGTAACAAATAATAAAATAATAACAATATAAAAAATATATATTTGTATAAAATATTTTAATGGTTGTGACAACTTGCCCAACCTGACATTTAAGAAACATTCTCCTGTTCTGAAAACCTGGTGTTGCCCAAATGTCATAATGCATGTACATATTGGAAATTTAGTAGACAAAACTCACCAAAATTATAATATGACACTTTTGAACTCATGTGCCCGGTTGCATAAAGCACCTTAAGTTTTTCCCTTATGAGACTTCTAACCAACATAAAAAAAATAATTTAAAAAAAGCATTTCAAGCACCTCCTCTAGCATCAGCAGTATACTGTCACTAATAAGCACAATCAACCTCCACCTACAGTCACTGACCACTGCCACTCTCGCCTTGGGGGGACAGGTGATAGTATCTATGAACTTGTGGAAAATGGGCATCCCCATTGACCCCTTTAAAATGTTGACATTTGTTTGAATTGGCCTTCAGAGATTCAGATGGAAACTGTGTCGATCATGTTTCTCATGGTTTTAATTATCAACATATCCATAACAGCAAGAGTGAGAGTATATCATGAGGGGACTATGTGAATGGAAATTTGAACACAGCCCTTGGGCTCCATGGCAATGGAAGGTTCTAATTCGGGTTCCCTTTGTTGTGCATCTGGCTGAATAGAACTTAGAAATATGGTTCTGAAAAGAGCCGTGACAACAAAAGGAAATTAATTTTAATAAAGCCCAACCTCTCTTCGGAATAAGTCCATTGAGACAGACACAGCCTGACTCTCTCTCAGTGGTCTGATGTATTAATGGTGCCTAATCTTCAAAGAACGCAGCAGGTTGTTTAAGCCACATTCAAACTCCATGACGCTGGAATGAAAGGGGAACCGGTTTTCCGTGGCTTTTGTTTCTGTAATGGAGACCCACATGTGGGACACACACAGAGACATATGAACATGCGATAACAGAAAACCCTCAAAAGAAACAGAGCCACTGAACAAAGGAAGACGATTCACCACGTCGCACAATAATGAGGCTTATTGGGCTTAATATATGGTAACCTTTGTTCTGTTTTGCTCAGTGTTTTTGTCCTCGCTGTGAACCCTACATTATACGTAGCACAATGATGGTTGTGCAGATGTATGTGAGACCAGGGATAATTTAACTTTTTCGCTTTAGCAAATTTTATTTTTGTCGTTAATTCTTGAAAATTAACTTCTGTAAAGACATCTGAAACAACTTCAAGGAACAAATATAGCGGGTATTTAATACAGTAGTGGGTTATATTGATGCACTACATGGGGTAAGTTGTCACAGTGTGCAATTAAAAAGCCTGTTATAGACTCTACATCAACATGTAAACATTTACTATGATTTTTATGACAATTATGAAAGTCAAAACAAATCATTAAGCAGTAAAAAGGTAACAAATAATAAAATAATAACAATATAAAAAATATATATTTGTATAAAATATTTTAATGGTTGTGACAACTTGCCCAACCTGACATTTAAGAAACATTCTCCTGTTCTGAAAACCTGGTGTTGCCCAAATGTCATAATGCATGTACATATTGGAAATTTAGTAGACAAAACTCACCAAAATTATAATATGACACTTTTGAACTCATGTGCCCGGTTGCATAAAGCACCTTAAGTTTTTCCCTTATGAGACTTCTAACCAACATAAAAAAAATAATTTAAAAAAAGCATTTCAAGCACCTCCTCTAGCATCAGCAGTATACTGTCACTAATAAGCACAATCAACCTCCACCTACAGTCACTGACCACTGCCACTCTCACCTTGGGGGGACAGGTGATAGTATCTTGCCGAAAGCGCACCAGCATGCATAAGTAATCATGTGTTGGGCATGGTGCCCAACCCTGTTCCTGGAGATCTACCTACCTGCACAGTCACTGACCACTGCCACTCTCGCCTTGGGGGGACAGGTGATAGTATCTTGCTGAAAGCGCACCAGCATGCATAAGTAATCATGTGTGGGGAGTGGTGCCCAACCCTGTTCCTGGAGATCTACCTACCTGCAGAGTTCAGTTCCAACCCTGCTTCAGCACACCTGCCTGTAATTATCAAGTGCTCCTGAAGATATTAATTAGCTGGTTAAGCCATGTTTGATCAGGGTTGGAGCTTTGCAGGAAGGTAGATCTCCAGGAACAGGGTTGGGCACCTGGGTGTAGGGTACTATGAAACATCTTTTAACCAAAAACCTGCTCTTTTCCTGTGCCAATTCAGAAATTGTTGCTTTTATATCACATCTCCAGATCAGCACGAAATGTTGAAAAAGTGTTTTCTTTTCCTCTCCATATGATTCCTATTAAATTAGTTTTTTGTAAATGCAGTGCTGCTTTGTTTACAACAATAACCAAGGGAATGCTATACTGCTGCTATTTCATAAGTGCCACCAACTCTCAGAGAGTTAATTTGCAGTTTCATTCAGTCCATCTGCTGTTTTTATTTGTCTGCTGTTTAATGTAACAGCTTCACAAAGCTAATATCAGACCATTCTTTTTTTTTGCTTAAAATCCTGGAATTATTCAATCTATTTTAAATAAAATACAACTGCTCTTCCTACATGTGTGTGACATCTTTGTTTGGATCATGATTGAAATACAGTGGTTGCCAGTTTGGCCAGTAACAGAGCAAATAATAAATACATTTGCTTTAAGAAAAAAAAAAATAGCAACTGGCACAAAAAAAAATAATGATCAGTGATTTTTCAAAGCCACTCAATGCTGAACGAGTTTATTTCAACAAGCAAGATGCTATACTTAAAGGGATAGTTCAACCAAAAATGAAAATTCTGTCATTAATTACTCTGGGTGTTTAAAAAAACACATTCATCAAGGATACATTAAATTGATCAAAAGCAACAGTAAATACATAATTTTACAAAAGATTTGTTTCAAATAAATGTTGTTCTTTTATAATATTGTATTCATAAAAGAATCCTGCAAAATATCACTGTTTTCACAAAAATATGAAACAGCCCAACTCAGTATTCACGGTGAGTCTAATAAATGAAGAGTAAAGTATAATCAAGCATTAAATTCAGTCTAAATGCATTTATAAAACTGTGCATCCCTGAGAGAATTGCAGAATGGTGACTTCAGTTATTCACGAAATATTTTAATGAAATGTAATTTTTTTATTTCACAGAAGAAATTTATACAGGTTTAGAATGACGTGAAGGTGAGTAAATGACAACAATTTTTAATTTGGCTGACCTATCCATGTAAGTACTTTCATTGAGAATGAGGTGTACCTAAATAAATAAATAATATTTTCCTCTATTTCCTGCAGCTCTACAGCTCCTTTTGAACGGCAGTTTACTTCACTGATAGTAAAACTGAAAAGATATACAGACATTCACAAGACAAAATTATTCGCACTGTTCAATATCCAGTTTGTTCAGTGTGCAGCTTTGCTCGTTCAGTAGATCAGAGAGCATCTTGACTCCTGATTCTCCAAGGTTATTGAAGCTCAGATCCAGGTCTCTCAGATGAGAGGGGTTTGAGCGCAAAGCAGAAGCCAGATAACCACAGCCTTCATCTGTCACCCTACAGATAGACAATCTACAAACACACACAGAAACAATGAAGATTATCTGAGACATTAGAACTCATGACAAAACCTTCATAAATCATGTGACCTGAATGAGGTAAACAAACATTTAGCTGCTAGTTTTAAACTGCATTTAATATAAATTGTAGATGATTAATGCAACCCTCAGGAAAATTGGGACATTTTGTAAAATGCTCTAAAATCAAGAATATCTGATCCATTAATTCTCTTTAACTTTTATTTAATTGACAAAAGTATATAGAAAAGCATTTTGTCAATATAAACAAATTCTGATTTTGATGGCTGCAACACACTCCAAAATAGTTGGGACAGAGGCAAAATAAAAGAGAAAATGTTATAGAATATCCAATTGTTTAAATTGAAACAGTAAGCAGGTACTTTGGTAATAGTTATCATGTAATATCATGCTTGGGTATAAAAGGAGCATCTCAGTCAGTGCAAACGAAGCTGGATCATGGCTCATGACTTTGTGCCAAATTTCATGAGAGAAGAGTCAAATCAAAAATCACATTTCTCAATGCAAAGAATTTAGATCTTTCACCAACTACCATACATAATATTGTGAAAAGATTCAGGGAATCCAGAGAAAACTCAGTCTGTGTAGGGCAAGGCAGGAAACCTCAAACCTCAGATAGCCACATGTGCTCAGGAGTACTTAGGAAAACCGCTGTCACTTAACACAGTCTGCCACTGCATCAATAAATGCAACTTGAATCTCTATTACTCTAGGACAGGGGTCGACAACCTATGGCACACGTGCCAACAGAGGGATAATCACTGGCATGCGAGCAATGGGCAAAACTGCATACTGACTTACAATTGGAGGTAATCATTCCTCATGGTCACGCAGTCTGTGAGAAGCTATAGATACAACTAAAGTGTGAGAATTACACTGCACTAGTCTACAGATGCGCGTGGCTCCGGCAAATTATTCACGTGACTGCTGCTCATACAAGGCAGTTCAGATCAGTGGTCTAACCCCTTCTTTACACTGCACACGTCTGTGGCGCATTACGGCTCTGACACGGTCACCAGAGCTGATCGCAACCACCCTAGTCAAAGCTTGTGTTTATACGACATTTCAGAAGCGGCTCTCTGTGCTGCTTCGCTAAAGATAGGTGCCTAGTCTATTTTTGACGGATGCCTAACACTCAGTGCAGACTAAAACACAGCTACAAATATTTTATCCTTTTCGTGCATCAATGGACTTCTGTGCTACAGCACAACAATAAACACAATTAAAACGGACAAAACATAACCATTTAGCCAACTTAACCATAGCAGAACCCCCCCAAAAACATGAAAAAAAAAAACAGTCTCATAGTCTCGCGAATGCAGTTGCTTCCACTGTCCAGCAGATTTTAGCTTTAACCCAAAAATAAACACACCTAAATCAGCCAATCAAATTCTTCGGAATCACTAGAGACTTCCAGGCAAGTGTGTTGGAGCAGGTTGGAGCTAAACACTTCAGGATAGTGGCCCTCCAGGTGCAGCATTGGACGCCCCTGACCTAGATAAATGTGGCTAATATTAGGTGCATATCCAAAAGATTGTGCAGAGTGTGTAAGTGCAAATTAGTACTGTGCTTACTGCACAACGTTTAACTTAACTTCTACAACATCAGAGTGCCTCTACTCAAAGTCCAGCTTTATTGCGGGCAATACATAGAGCTCACTTCTCCCCAATGTCGTAGACAAACTTCTGTTCCCTTTCTCATAATATGAGAAGATATTGAGTAAGGCATAGCTTTGAGTCAGGTATAGACTAATTGTCCAGATTCTTGTAGTGTTGCAGTGTGCAGCCATTAATTTATTCGTTTTTATATATATTTATTTTGTTTGAGTTCTGACCTCTGAAAAACTGAGTTTTCCTTTCATGTTAAGGCTATTTGTCCGTCGGCCTGATTATGTTTGCACAGATATTTCTCTATTAACTTTTCAGTTTACTGTATATTTATTTATTCATTTGTTTTTAATTTATATATATGCCAAAAATGTAAAAAAATATTTGTTACATTTTGTTTTTTAAGATAAGAATGATATCCAGCTTCATCTACGGTAGAAGTGAGTATAAGGGTTTTTTATGAAACTTTGCAAATTGTCTTTCCTAATATGTGCTAGTTAGCCAGTTTCGTGGCTGAAGTTTACAGTCTGCTCGTCACCCCACGGAAGAGAGGGGCGGGGTCAGCAGAGCTCATTAGCATTTAAAGCAACATGGACTAGAATGGCTTGCAGGGAACACAGCCAATTTTGACAGGGTAAAAAGGATGTTTTTTACACTACCATTGAGAAATTTTAATCAAAGTATGTTATAGACTTTTCATTAAGACCCTAAAGAACCATATCAACTTGTGGAAAATGGGCATCCGATGACCCCTTTAAACTGTGCTGTTGTATACAAAATTAATGCAATAGAGAGTATTTATAATGCTTCAATATACTGAATGAATGAATCTCAAACCTCAGTATTTTTAGTTGACAGTTTGGGCTCTTCAGTCCATCAGAAAGCAGCTTCACTCCTGAGTCCCGCAGCTCATCGCGAATCATATCCAGCTCTATCAGATGGGAGTTTGATGATTGTAGAACTGATGCCACAATTTCACAGCACTGACCAGTGAGTGTACAGCCTGCCAATCTGAATAGAACAATAAAAACTGAAAAATTACATGTCAATTTCATTTAATAAAAGTGAAAACTACAAGTTTCTGCTAAAAGCAGAATATGGCTCCAATCACCAGCTGATCTATACAGCCATCTACCAGATACTGAGGATCATAAGCAAATAGATTTGACTCTCCTGAAGGAAAAAGTCATGTTTGGAGAAGTTTGGGTTTTATGTTCTGAGTAAATAAAATCAACGGCATCTTAAAATGCATTGTTTTCTATGCAACAATTTTCTCCATTCCCTTTAGAAAGTGTAAGTCTTATACATATACAAAGTTCAAGCATTAAATAATCTAATAAACATATACAGTCATTGTTTATAATGGATCAGTATACTAAATGAATGAATCTCAAACCTCAGTATCTCCAGCTGACAGTTTGGGCTCTTCAGTCCATCAGAGAGCAGCTTCACTCCTGAATCCTGCAGGTCATTGTCACTCATGTCCAGCTCTATCAGACGGGAGTTTGATGATTGTAGAGATGATGCCAAAAATTCACAGCACTGTCCAGTGAGTATACAGCCTGCCAATCTGAACAGAGTAATAAAAGCTTACTAGGGCTGCCCCCTATTAATTGATGATCCTGATCCTGGAGGGCCACTATCCAGCAGAGTTTAGCTTTAACCCAAAAATAAACACACCTGAACTAGCTAATCAAATTCTTCTGACTCACTAGAAACTTCCAGGCAAGTGTGTTGGAGCAGGTTGGAGCTACTATAAACACTTGAGGTTTGATGATTGTAAAGCTGATGCCACAATTTCGCAACACTGACTGGTGAGTTTACAGCATATGAATCTGAACATCCCTTACGAAACAACAATATATGGTAATATACTGCAAAATATAATGCAATATATTACATAATACATTTCCATATATTGGAAACTAGTGCTTATATTTTTCAATATATGCATTGACAATATATAGCTATATATTGATATCTGTTAGTGTTTAATGTTGTATTATTTTGAAATGTAAAATGGTTTCTGGTATGTGTACGTTTGTGGGGTTACCATTGTGCAGAAGAGTAGAGCCTGTGGTCAGGAAGACGACTGGCCAAACACTGTTAAACTATATGTTACTTTGTTTAAAAAGTAATGGTAGTGCACTGTTCAGCACAGTGATAGTCTGTTCACTAAGTGCTTTATTATGAGCAGGTGTGCTTATGCTATTGTAAGCTAGCTATATTTTAATATCTGAAACATGCATATCATAAATGATTGTTAAATATAAGAAACATATATTTCCATATATGTGTGTGCATATACTGCATGAATATATGTTCATATTTTTACACATGCAGTACCAAATCTTATCACATGTACATCTATATATTATAAAGTGTATTACTGAATATAAAATGACATATATTGTGATATATAAGTAAATATATTGTCACATATTTTGCAATATATGAAAAGCAGCAATTCCTTATGTATTATTCAATATATTGTAATATATTTACACAATATATTATTCTGTAAAATTTCTAATATACCATTATGTCGGTTAATATATTAATCATTCATATATTAGGAAATATATTTTCTTTGCGTAAGGGAATCTGAACATATATTTTGTTATATATTTACACTTCATTTGATATATGCTGATAAATTACAAGTTCGACTGAAAGAATAGTATGGTTCTGATGACCAACTGACCTATACAGCCATCTACCAGATACTGAGGATTATAAGCAAATAGATTTGCATCTCCTGAAGGAAATAGCCCTGTTTAGGTAAGTTTGGGTTTTAAGATCTGAGTAAATGAAATGCTGCATCAGCGGCACCTTAAACTGTGCTGCTGACTCTTGACATTATTTTCTATGCAACCATATTCTTCATCCCTTTTAGAAAGAGCGACTCTTATACATACATATTCAAAATTCATGCATTAAAGAACCTATTAAAAATGTAATATATGAATGAATCTCAAACCTCAGTATCTTCAGCTGACAGTTTGGGCTCTTCAGTCCATCAGAGAGCAGCTTCACTCCTGAATCCTGCAGGTCATTGTCACTAATGTCCAGCTCTATCAGACGGGAGTTTGATGATTGTAGAGATGATGCCACACATTCACAGCACTGTCCAGTGAGTGCACAGCCTGTTAAACTGAACGGCATAGTGAAAAACCCTGTATTTGAAAGACTCAAGGTAACTACTGTCCAGCATTAAGCAAAGTTAGCAACAGTCTCACACAGGTGCTGCTTGCAGCGTAGGTCTTGTTTTTTTGTGAAAACATAGTGGAAGACATTGAGGTTTTACAACCTTTAAAGTGGAGTGCTGAGAGAAATTGTATGAATGAATGAATTATGAATGCATTTCTGAAGTTAACAACTGTCTGCAGCAAAGTATCAATGGTATTTCCTTTTCATATTTCTTCTGTGGGATGCCTAATAAAGTACTATGTATTAGTGCAGCATTGGTTTGTGTACAGCAGTTACCAGGGAAACTGCTCTATTTCTGTTGTTCTTTAAGCACCACCTACTGTCAGAGAGTGGATTTACACTTTTAGTTTAGTAATTACTTCATTATTTAATATAGGGTATGTTTAAATTAATCGGTCATCAAAACAATTGGTAACACTTTAATATAAGGACCAATTCTCACTATTAAGTAGTTGCTTATTAGTATGCATAGTATTACCATATTGGCTGTTTATTAGTACTTATAAAGGACATATTCTGCATGACCATGTTCTACATCCTTAATCCTACCCAATACCTAAACTTAACATCTACCTTACAAACTATTAAGAAGAAGTAAATGAGAAGTTTATTGAGGCAAAAAGTGTGACCAAACAATTTATGGCCAAAATGAATTGGAGTAAAAACAGGTTTTATTATTAGCATTAGAAGTTAAAGCTAACGTTCAGTTTACACATTTGCATACAATGTTGTTGACTATTTTATCTAACACTAAATAGCTATTTAATTTAAAGGGGTGGTTGATTGTGATTTCACTTTTTTCACTTTAGTTAGTGTGTAATGTTGCTATTTGAGCATAAACAATATCTGCAAAGTTACGACGTTGAAAGTTCAATGCAAACGGAGATAATGTCTTTTAAAATTATGGCAGTTTAATGCCTACAAATACGGCTGGTAGGGACTACAACGAGCTATTTCCTAAGTTGGTGACATCACAAACCCTGAAATTTACATAAACCCTGCCCCTGGGAACATGCAACAAAGGGGGCAGGGCCATGCTGCGCTGCTTTAGAAAAGAGGAAGAGTTGTTGCAATGCCGTCAAACCTACGGGTCCACGAAAAAAATCTATTCATACAGTTTTATGCAAACGTTTGGGCACCCCTCTGAGGCTGCATAATAATTATCTCTTTCTTTATAAGAAAATATTCTGGTGATATACCATTCAGTTTCTAGAGAAAGCTGCATGAGGGGTGTTTTTCAGACAGAAATTCTTAGTGTAGCAGTCAAATGTGATAAATAAAGCAAAAGTTTGGGCACCCTTTCAGTTGTGTTGATTTTAAAACATGTAGTCTCTTATTGTTGATTAATTACAACACAATATTGATTCGATTGGCTCAGTGAACCTTAACACTGCAAACTAGGGTGCAACACATCATGGAAAATGATATGTAAGGTAACTAATTGGTAGTTGTGCTTCTCCTTGATTCTCTACTGGAAAGTAGCAACATGGGAACCTCAAAAGAACTCCCTAATGAACTAAAAACTAGGATAATTTGTCAATATGAATTAGGAGAAGGATACAAAAATTTTCACAAAGGTTTAAGGTCTCTGTCTCCACAGTCAGAAATATTGTTAGAAAATGGAAGGCCACTGGAACAGTCCTTGTCAAAAATATCTGAAAGGCAACAGCGAAGAATGGTTAGAATGGTCACAGACAAACCACAGAACATCTTGCTCCAAGAACATCTTGCTGCTGATAGTGTCATTGTGCATCGTTCCACAGTCCAGCACACTCTGCACAAGGAACAGCTCAATGAAAAGGTGATGTGGAAAAAGCCTTTTCTGCATACTGCCAACAAGCAGAGTTGTTTGAGACTCATCTGGACAAGCCTGAATTATTTTGGAATAATGTGCTGTGGACAGATGAAACTAAGATAAATTACTTCATTATTTAATATAGGGTATGTTTAAATTAATCGGTCATCAAAACAATTGGTAACACTTTAATATAAGGACCAATTCTCACTATTAAGTAGTTGCTTATTAGTATGCATAGTATTACCATATTGGCTGTTTATTAGTACTTATAAAGGACATATTCTGCATGACCATGTTCTACATCCTTAATCCTACCCAATACCTAAACTTAACATCTACCTTACAAACTATTAAGAAGAAGTAAATGAGAAGTTTATTGAGGCAAAAAGTGTGACCAAACAATTTATGGCCAAAATGAATTGGAGTAAAAACAGGTTTTATTATTAGCATTAGAAGTTAAAGCTAACGTTCAGTTTACACATTTGCATACAATGTTGTTGACTATTTTATCTAACACTAAATAGCTATTTAATTTAAAGGGGTGGTTGATTGTGATTTCACTTTTTTCACTTTAGTTAGTGTGTAATGTTGCTATTTGAGCATAAACAATATCTGCAAAGTTACGACGTTGAAAGTTCAATGCAAACGGAGATAATGTCTTTTAAAATTATGGCAGTTTAATGCCTACAAATACGGCTGGTAGGGACTACAACAAGCTATTTCCTAAGTTGGTGACATCACAAACCCTGAAATTTACATAAACCCTGCCCCTGGGAACATGCAACAAAGGGGGCAGGGCCATGCTGCGCTGCTTTAGAAAAGAGGAAGAGTTGTTGCAATGCCGTCAAAACTAGGGGTCCACGAAAAAAATCTGTTCATACAGTTTTATGCAAACGTTTGGGCACCCCTCTGAGGCTGCATAATAATTATCTCTTTCTTTATAAGAAAATATTCTGGTGATATACCATTCAGTTTCTAGAGAAAGCTGCATGAGGGGTGTTTTTCAGACAGAAATTCTTAGTGTAGCAGTCAAATGTGATAAATAAAGCAAAAGTTTGGGCACCCTTTCAGTTGTGTTGATTTTAAAACATGTAGTCTCTTATTGTTGATTAATTACAACACAATATTGATTCGATTGGCTCAGTGAACCTTAACACTGCAAACTAGGGTGCAACACATCATGGAAAATGATATGTAAGGTAACTAATTGGTAGTTGTGCTTCTCCTTGATTCTCTACTGGAAAGTAGCAACATGGGAACCTCAAAAGAACTCCCTAATGGCCTAAAAACTAGGATAATTTGTCAGTATGAATTAGGAGAAGGATACAAAAATTTTCACAAAGGTTTAAGGTCTCTGTCTCCACAGTCAGAAATATTGTTAGAAAATGGAAGGCCACTGGAACAGTCCTTGTCAAAAATATCTGAAAGGTAACAGTGAAAAATGGTTAGAGTGGTCACAGACAAACCACAGAACATCTTGCTCCAAGAACATCTTGCTGCTGATAGTGTCATTGTGCATCGTTCCACAGTCCAGCACACTCTGCACAAGGAACAGCTCAATGAAAAGGTGATGTGGAAAAAGCCTTTTCTGCATACTGCCAACAAGCAGAGTTGTTTGAGACTCATCTGGACAAGCCTGAATTATTTTGGAATAATGTGCTGTGGACAGATGAAACTAAGATAGAGTTATTTGGTCACCACCAGAGGTGCTTTACATGGCGGAAAAGAAGAACCTGCTCGCTACTGTTAAATTAGGTGGAGGGTCCATGCTGTGGGGCTGTGTGGCAGGCGCAGGTACAGTAAAACTTGTCAGAGTTGAGAGTCACATGGTTTCCACCCAATATCAGCAGATTCTTAAGAACAATGTTCAAGAATCAGTCAAGAGGTTGAAGTTGTTTCAGCAGGACAATGACCCAAAGCATTGTTCCAAATCTACCAAGGAATTCATGCACAGACACAGATACAATGTTCTAGAATGGCCATCCCAGTCCCCAGACTTGAATATCATCAAAAATCCATGGATTGACTTGAAGAGGGCTGTCCATGCTCGTCAGCCATCAAACTGACATTTTACAAGGAAGAATAGTAAAAATACCTGCAGTCAGAATTCAGGGAATTATCAGTGGCTGTAGCGTCCACAGGCTGTTATTTCAGCAAAAGATGGCTCTACTTAATATTGATTTCCTGATTCCATTGGGGTGCTCAAATTTTTTGCACTTGTCTGTTTTTGTTATGATTCACATTGCATTGTTTCTGTTGATTCATTAAATTCTATTTCAGAATTTAAATGTTACTGTATCTACAAGGTATTTATTAATTTAAGGTAATTATCAGGGGTGCCCAAACTTTTGCATAAAAATGTATATAAGGCCCGGTTTACACTATTGTGTTTTCAGCAGTTCTTAATCCTGTTCCTCGAGTCCCCTGCTCTGCATCTCTCTCTCATTCTCTCTCTCGCTCTCTCATTCAGATCATCAGCTCGTCAGCTCCAGCAATGAACTGTTCCAATTATACACTTTATGTGTATAGACAGACAGATATTTTTCACATAGCTACGAGAAGCGTTACACATGGACGTGCACGCTGTTGCGGTGGTAGTGAGCAATACATGCTGGCAAATACTTCTTACTCTTACAAAAATGCTACAATGCAATCATGTATTCTGCTGTATTATAGCTTTAATCAGGATAAAACCATATATTAGAAGCTAACATAAGCAGTAGCATTTACTAATGACAGCTTATCTAAAAGTATGAGAGAAAAAAAAAAAAATCATACCATTCTGAAACGTCCGGTTCTGCGCGATCCTCTTCACTAATATTCCCTGAGTCACAATCAGGCTCAAATTAATAAGCAATATTGACGATGTCATTGTTTATAATACAAACTGAGCGCGTGCCACTGAGATGAGGGGCGTGACTTTTCTGGACTTCACCAGGTGGCCAGTCAATCACAACACACAGGGCCAGCTAACCAATCTGAACTCATTGCGTATTTCTGAGGGAGGGGCTTCATAAAACCAGGAAATCATCAGAGCGTTTATTGGAGAAGGGACAGAGCATTGTAGAATAAAGATAAATTATGTAAAAAATAATGTGTTTTTTTTTTAAAGCGAAGCATTAACATGTTAGACTGCACCCCATAAACACAATCAAGCCTAGAAAAAAAAAACAGTCAACCACCCCTTTAATTATTTGGGCTGTGTTGTTGATAGTGAACAATTAATTCAATTACTATAAATGTAATATTATAGTAATGTGCAAGTAATAGGACAACTTATATAGTATTAGCATTAGCAGCAATATATATATATTTTTACCCTTTACAAAAATGTAATTTTGACTGAATTTATTTAAAGACAGAGCCACAATTTTTTTTCAGTAAATCACTGTCTAATAAAAAAAGGAAAAATGAATCAATTTTATGTTTAGTTTTCCCCTCACTGTAACGAAAACATACCAAACCATAACTTTAAAACCATGGTACGTACCAAACCAGCAATTTCGTTTGCTATTGTACCCCTAATAAAAAATTAAAAAAAACATCTGAATCTCAAACCTCAATATCTTCAGCTGACAGTTTGGGCTCTTCAGGCCCTCAGAGAGCAGCTTCACTCCTGAGTCCTGCAGCTCATTGTGACTCATGTCCAGCTCTATCATGGGTGAGTTTGGTATCTGCAGGGCCAAAGCCACAGTTTCACAGCAGGTATCATTGAGTTTACATGAGGAGAGTCTGTAAAAGAAGATATTTGTCAAACACATATATTGTGTTTATCTTGTAGGACCAGTTCTCTAAGAACATTCAAGCTTTCTAGATAAAAGAGCCCGGTCTCATGAAAATGCATATCAATACCACAGTCAATTATTATTATTATTATTTTGTATTTTACGTAGGGCTGTCAGTTTAACACGTTAACTTAATCAGTTATGAAAAAATATTAACGGACTGGCCCCGCCCACAATCCTGTGCATCATCTTACATTTCATACAGTTGACTGTTGACAAACATGATGCAGGACAACAACTCCATAAATGCAGTTAAGATATTGGGGCAAAAAATGCCCCTGTATGAGTTTTTGTCTCATATTTTTTATCATATGATGCACGATATCACACCAGCAGCGAAAGCAATATCACACGAGTGCTGTTTTTGTCACGAAGAACACGAGTGCAAATGTGATTTTATACAACAGTTCAGTAAATAAGAAGTTAATATTGTGCAAAATTTTAAAACAATATTTTGCATTTTGTTTAATTTTGCCAACAAAAATATTACCTATAAAGCTATTCTATTTGATACCCCTTCCCCTACCCCTTCCCCTTGTCCCTTGAAACGGAGTGTGAATGGGTAGGGGTGAAAATATTCCCCTAAGAATTGGGACACCACTACTATACCGTCACGCGCCATCATACGTCATCTCACTCCTACAATACTTCACGTGAAGGGGTAGGGGTGTCTCGATTCTCTTTTGGTTGGAGGGGTAGTGGTAAGGGGTAGAAATGGGATTGGGCCTTAGTTTCTGAATGAATCCGCGTTTTGAACGAATCGTGTGAACCAGAGAGCTGTTTACTGAATTCGAACGAACCGATTTGTTTGTGTTTGAACGAACCGATTCATAAAGAAATTGACTGCTATTTTCTGGTAGTTTTCGTTTCTTTAAGTATCATTTCATTTATTAAAAAAAAATAAATAAATAAATAATAAAAAAAAAAATTCTAATGTTGTTTCAAACCTGAATGACTTACTTTCTTTCGCACAACATAAAATAAGGTATTTTTGAATGCTGTTGGTAACTAAGCTGTTTTGAATTTCAATGCATGAACAAAAAATACAGAGATGTTTCTCGAACTATCTTCTTTTATGTTCCATACTTTATGTAGCCTAAACATTTGACACAATAATAGGTTTAAATGATCTTTTGGGGGTATTTTCACACCTAAATTTAGTTTGCGATTAATTCGATTAATTAATCACAGCACCCTGTAATAAATTAGATTAAATATTAATATTTTTTAATCGACTGACAGCCCTGATTTTATGTGCTATTTATGTGCAAAATCTTTGTTGAGCATACGATACACATGTGTTTGGTGTCCATATAATACACCGTTTTTGCGTGCATATGATATGCTCTTTGTTGGTGTGCATATATTTTTTAGTAAATACAGTTTTACTCCCCAAAATCAGTAAAAGTTACTTGCTTTGCTTTTCTGCAGCATCTCACAGCTGGCAAGAGACTCATGTAGCCTCCCCATGTGGTCTCGTACGTATTCAGGTTGAACTCATCCAGCACATCCTCGGACATCATCAGTATGTAGGCCAGCAAGGAGCACATGGAAGACTTTTGTATAGATGTAAGAGGAACTTTTTTCCTCACGGAAAAATGCAAGGGATTCATTCATCATTAGATGTGTTATTTAATACCTTTTTATCCAGGCATCAGATTATATGTGTGCGCGCACACACATATTGTGACATGTTCTGTGTTCTATGAAATGCCTGAGATCTATTTATCTAAGCGTACCTTGGAATGCTACCGAATTCCTCCCCAGTCATGCGGGCGTCAGATGCCAGACACCAACAGACCATAAGATCTTCAAAAACATTCCTCAGGACTTCATTTATGGTGTCCTCACCAGACAGAGTTATACAAACATCATATTTCTCCCCCCGGAGGGCAAAGGTCGACATCGGAATTCCACATATGCTGATTTACACATCCGGATATCATTAACAGGTCAAAGGTCACATCTGGATATCATTAACAGGTCACGGGGGTCAGCGCAAGGCGGGTGGGCCACGTGGGGGAGGGGAAAAGTCAAAAAGTCAAAAGCCATAAATCATTCTTGACACATGCCGAATCATACTGACTACTTACAACATAATAAAAAGAAGGCTTCAAACAGATGTATGGGTCTATATACAAAATGCCCATTATATGCTCTGTATCTATCAGTTTTGTAGCCCTATAAATCAAACAAATTAACCATTTCTCATTATGACATCTCACCAATTGTGAAGTGTTGCTAAAAATACACCTTTCATGACAGAAGGCTCTGTTTGTGGAATTTTCATTCTATTTGTTTTCAAATAAATATAGTAGTGTTAATGTATGTATTATTCCAATTCCATTCAACTCAAACATTGGACTATATACATGAAACTAACAATAAAACGCTCAGAATATGAATCTTTATATAGTATAGCACTAGGCTTGTTTGGGAAGTACACCTTCAGTATTTTTATACAGACTCCCTATAAACTCCCTACAATATTAACAGAAACATTCTATGAAATAAAGAATATAGTATAATCAAACATTACACGGAATCTAAATGCATTTATGAAAAATGTTTATCCCTGAGAGAAATGTAGTAACATATGTAATATAGAGGTAAGTAATATCGATATATTGCCTGTTGATTGTTGTGTGTGAATGTATACGAGCATTTATGTTAGAAGACTGTGTTGTTATAACTAGCTATTTTTGTAATGTAAACATAAGCAATACAAATATAAAAAAAGAGAGTAAGAGCCTACTAAATCTCTAAAAAAGAACTGAGGGTTAAAGTACAAAAAGTTTGTGCCAAAAGTTAATAATTACACTCAAGATTTTGTCACCTAATATCTTGGCTTGTCTATCACATGACACACCAGAAAAACATAAATATTAAAGTTTTACTGATTGAAAAACAAGGGCAATATAATAAAAATCTACATGAACCAGCACATGCATATTATTATTATTATTTTAGATCTTAAGAGATTTATGGTAAACCTAATTTAAGCTTTAATATTTCTATTCTCTGATGTATAGATGCACATAATGAATCAGTTAAATTAAAGGTTGTAATGTTGAATAAGTCTGTGTATTTATGATAAAATTGCATGAGTTTAATAAGCATGAGAAACAACTTATTAAACTTCATGTCAGTGACTTTGCTGCATGAATCTGCTGTGATTACTGGAAACAGGGATCAGTGAACAAGGTATTTATTAACTCACCTTAATAATGAGTATCTTTCTCCTCCTCTGAAGTGGCAACTTGTTCAACAGAAGTGCTGCTAGTCTTCTCACTTATGCTTTCTTCTTCAGTGGGCATGTCTCTCAGTACTGCCGCTCCCTATAGAGCAGGGGTGGGGAACGTTGATGCTGGAGGGCCGGTGTCCCTGCAGAGTTTAGCTCCAACTTTAATCAAACACACCTGAACAAGCTAATCAAGGTCTTCAGGATACAGGTAGTTTTTTTTTCAGGGACTCTGCAGGACATTAGCCCTCAAGGATCAACGTTCCCCACCCCCTGCTATAGAGACAGAGCACATTTAGGCCACGCCCACATGGGGGGGAGGGATGTGGGACAATCCAACGCTCTCCATTGACTTTCTATTGCGGGAAGCTGCCTCCTTGTCATTTCTGACTTATAAAAAAAAACAGAGCACTGCCTAAAAGCTGCCATGTGACAAGGTGTACAGTAAACAAGCTAAAAACACAGAACTACTTTTTTTTCAGAACGTTTTTATAAGCTGTAGTTGTTTTTGACAAGGAGGCAGCTTACCGCAATAGAAAGTCAATGGAGAGCGTTGGATTCTTGTAGCCATGGTAACAGCAAATTAACCATGATATTGTTACTTCAAATAATGATTTACAAAGATGTATTAAGATAATAATTTCTGTGGTTATAAAAACAGACCTAAGCCAACAATAGCCTTTAAAAGGACTTAAAATGCATTATATAAAAACAACGAGACAATAATGATTTGTTAATAACACTGTTAAAATACATACAGTAACGTAGGCTAATACAAAATAAACTATTTATGTACATTACATGTTATTACAAATGCCTGCAAAGGGAGCCAAAGGCCTGGTAATTGCTGCTGCTACACTTACAGGACAATCAAATCCTTCTTTAGGCTATTGGCCAAACATTTAATTCAAATATTCACTTAATCTTTCATTTTTGGCCAGCTTTTTGCTATAGATGACACAGCCTCTATAATTTCTTCAACAAAAAAACATGTTTTTTGTAAACCCTTACAATAATAAACCCAGGTTTTATCGTAGTAAAACTGCATCATTTTCTTTTGCGTGATTTCTGAATGCTTGAGACTATAAAATCAATTAGACAACTGTATTAATAAAGTCATAGCCATAGGTAACTGTCTAGAGCTACAATTGTAATTTGTAAATAATACAATTTATTAATTTACTTTAATATTTTATTAAAGTTCTATTTAACTTTAGTTTAGTAGTTTTTTCCCCCCATAATATTTGAGGAAGGGGGCACAACAATATAATACTGCTTAGGGGAGCTAATAATATTATTGAGCTAATATTATATGTGCCTAAAACTGTGTTTTTCATAGTAATCAAAACATTATTTGCATGTTTATTAATCACAGGGACCTGTATACACACGCAGCCTCAGTGTGGTTTCCTCAGACCAGGTTTATCGTTCAGTAATTTAAAATGAAAACTCTTTCTAAAGTCCCGTACACAGATGATAGGAGAGTCCAAATGAGACAGACAGACAAACATCACTGAGACGCAGATACACAGAGACAGACACACTTATTAGCTTGATATTCAATGTAACATGAATGGAATAGTACATCCAAAATGTAAAGTATTATTTAGAATAACATTCACTTACACTCATGTTTCTTGTGTGGAACACAAATTTTAGTGTGTAGATTCGCTTCCAATTGCCATGCCAGATATGTACAGTGAACGACATAATGCACAAAACTATGTAACACTATTTTTTAGTTTCTGAGCGGAACAAAACTGTTGTTTTTTCATGTTTTCAAAGTGTTTTCATGCTCAAATCACTAATAAAATTATCATTAATGCACTGACAATTCAAGACACTTAAATAGTTTTTTAAACAGGCAAATAAGTGATGGCATGGATAAAAAATGAAGGCATTAATGGTAGAGTTGAAACAGTTGTATATCAGTATAGTTTATATTAAATCTGGAGGGAGACTCAGCTCATTATTCATCAGCCTGTTTGAACACCTGCTCCAGAAAACATGGCATGGATGGAAATGCTTATTAATGCACATTAGCCATGTAAACTTATGGCCGATTTGCATCTTTCTGGCATCCATATTTAGACTCACACACAAGAGGAAGACAGGAGTGTATTAACATGCACACAAACACATTGTACTAATGACAGCATAAGTGTTTCAAAACGTCACAATATTTGAGTGTAAGACACCTAATTATCCAAAAATATCTTAATTCACATATCTCAATCAAGCTTCTGTAAGCTCTGGCCCTTGTTTGTCTTGCGTTGAAAACAGGTGGACTACCCACAAGTCCTTGGGGTGTCTCTCTCTCTCTCTCGTCTGGCTGCAGTGGGAACAGCTTGCGGGTCCAGTGGGGAAACAGCTTGCAGATGAGTTGGCCAAATGCATTAACGGGGGGTGGTTTGTATTTAGCATCAGCTCTCTGCTCAGTCTTATGCTTCATGTCCACTGAGTTCATTCCTGTTGGAGAAATTTTCTAAGTTCTAACAGCCTTCTGAACCGTCCTGTTTAGGTGTTGGTTAACAGGATTCTGCAAATTAACCTGGATGTCTTCAGGTCACCATTACCTGATTACAAGGATAACATGTATAAAATTAGGAAATTATGTGATCTGGCTTTTCACGTCTCATCAATACTGCATTGTTTCACTTTTGGCAAATGCTTTTATCCAAAATGAGCTGAATTGCATTGAAACTAAACATTTTATCGAACCTTTACCTGCTCTATATGCAATATTTTGATTTATCTCAATAAATGTTTGGAGCATGTTAACTCTTATAAATTTGAGCATAATTAATAAAAACACCATAGTTACTGAACTTATGATTAGTACAGTAAAGCTGAGGGTAACATTGTATTGGCCACCATTGTCAAAAAAAAAAAAGTATTTACAGTAGTAACAATAACTGAAGCATTACTTCAAACTAGTTTTACCGCAGCAAATTTGAGTCATTTAAAGAGCATAAAAGGATTAACTTACCTCAGTTTTTCCAGCTTCCCTCAAATTCCCAAAATCACCTGCTTATGCAAATTTACCATCTTACTGACTCCAAACATTTGACTGGTAATGTATCACTGTTTCCACAAAAATATGAAGCAGCACTTTTTAACAATTTATTTTAGGTTAAAATGAATTCTATGTTGATTTTACTTTATAAATATACCATTATAAATAATTAACATATTTGTTCATAATATATATAATTTTTGTAGTTTTAGGATGAAGGATCTACATTCAGTACATTACTGCTTGTACTAATATTTTTTCATTTTTATTATTATTTTTTGGATAGAAATTCGTCATTTTTTCAAGGACACATTAAATTGATTAAAAGTGACAGTAAAGACATTTATAATGTTACAAAATATTTCTATTTCGAGAAAATTTTAAGTTCTTTTGAACTTTCTATTTATCAAAGAATCCTGGAAAAAAAGAAAGAAAAAAAAATGTATCACCGTTTGCACAAAAGCATTGTGCAGCACGACTGTTTTCAACATTGATAATAATCAGAAATGTTTCTTGAGCAGCAGATCAGCATATTATACTGATTACTGAAGATCATGTGAAACTGAAGACTGGAGGAATGATGCTGAAAATCACATCACATTCGCACATCACAGAAATAAATTACATTCTACTATATAATGACTTAGTA